GTAAAGGATTACGGCCAGAATTTGCTCCTGGAACACCGAATTGCTATATTGAATTTGCTAAGCAGTGCATGGATTCTAATCCAGAAAAACGACCTGATGCTGATAGTATTTGGGATAAACTTGAAGAATGGAATAAACTTATAGAAAGTTCTGATTATGTAAATGAAATTCAAAAACAATTCTTAGAAGCAGATAAAGCAACTAAAGAATTGCCAATTATATCACCAAAACATCCTGACATTATGTATACTAGCAAAATTATCAATATACAAAAAATATCAGATACAATTAAAGGTAATTTTATAAAATTACACTATTTTATTTATTTAATTTAAAGCTAATTATATTTATTAGCAAGCAGCATTAACTAGTCAACCTATTACTTCTGTTGAAGTTTCTATTGGTAAGTACTATTAAATATACTGTACTTATAATTTAATTTATTATTTACTTTATTTTATCATTTATTAATTGCTTAAGAGTATAAATTTGTTATATATATGTAATTTAAATTTCAATGTAATTTGATATTTTAATTATTGTATTATTTAAAAAAATGTTTATTTTATATGATAGTTTTAAAATTAGAACTTTGTACATATATATAATTCTGATCATTTGTAATATTTAAATTTGTATTTTAAATAATCAATATATATATAATTTATATTGATGTGTGTATATATGTATAAAACTCATATATGTATTTTTTTAAATTTTTAATTAAAATAACTTACCATTTAAAATTCATAAAATATTCAATTTCATCAATAAAATAAGTAATTATATTAATTATTAAAAAAAAATAAAAAATTAAATTATATATATGTAATAAAAATATAAAATTTTATTTATAAAGATAATTAAATAATATTTAGTATCTGTAAATAGTCCATCTCTTACCCAACATGCCAGCACCACATTCAGCATGTTATTGTAATTAGTAAAATAAAATTTTATAATAAAAAAAAAATCTATAATATATAGATTATAAAAAAAATAAATATTAATAAAATTAATATATAGTTAATTTTATACATATATGAGTTTTATGAGGTAAAAAAGAATTTTTTTTCACTTTTTATATTTAATAGAAATCTACAATCTTTAGTTAAGCTATGTTAATAAATAAAAATATTTGTATTACTTAAATACAAAATGTGATTTATTTAATAAATATACATATGTATAAGTGTTTGTATTCTATATGCAAGCTTATAATAATCCAAACATATTTATTGTATAAAATATAACTAAGCTGTATTCATATTACTTATATTTTATAAAAATAAAATCTTTCGATACCTTATCTTTTGATATGTCAAAATATTCTAAAAAAGTTTATTCTTTAAGACTTTTAACTAATAAATTTAATTTATTTTACATTATTTATATAGTTTAAAGTATTTTTTTAAAAAAAAATAAAAACTAATTATAGTGAAATAAAAAAAGCTGTAGGATTTCATAACTAAACTAAGATCTAATTCTCATTTATTTAAAAAAGTTAGAAATAACTTCTCAAAACCTTATAAAATCAACTTATTATTAAGCTAATTTTTTTGAACAGATAAAAATTAGATTTTATTTTTAACTATGAAATCCCACAGCTCTGGTGAAACCTTATATATATATATTTTTATTTTATTGGTTTTTGTTTTTTTAAAAAGTACTATAAACTGTATAAATAATATAAAATTAAATTGAATTTATTAGTCAATCAAAAGAACTTCTGTCTATCAAATCGATAAATATTCTGTCATTCAATTTTTAAAATTTATATAAGAACCTTTTGTAACACTACCCAATACTATGTTTCCTATCATAATTCTGGTCAGTTACATTATCATGTGACTCCTTTTATCTCTGTAATTAGACTCGTATTATCTACTGAAAAGCCTGTTAATGAAGTGACAAGATGACCATTATTGTGAAATCAAATGATCTATGATCTTTACTTATCATATTTTGGTTAGTTGATTTTAGGATCATAGCTGTTGCCTAATAGTTCTTGTTAGATGCAGGTTTTTTATAATAATTTTATGATCACATATGCTTTTGGTAGTCAGTATTAGTATAATAATTATAGAATATCAAAAGAATTTAGGAGTAAATCATATAATTATAGGTGTAAAATCAGAAGAAAAGAAAATTGGTAGTGTTCTATCAGTAAGAGATATTTAAGACCATAGTGGTTGTTATAGGAGGTTATCTTTCTCATTACTATTGCTCACCATATAGAAAGATTGGCTCTATTATTTCTATCTTCATATTGAATGTAAATTTTTGTGTAAATAAATAAATAAATTAATTAATAAATAAATAAATAAATAAATAAAATAATAATTAAATTATAAACAATCTTCTAAGACAAGTTTTATTTAAGTCACATGATGTCATTTGTTAGTTGGATAAAGTTAACTACAAGTTAATTGAATGATCTATGTATAACATATGATTTGTCACCAGATGGCAATAAAAAAGAGTTGAGTGAGTGGTTGCAGGCATACTTCAAAAAAAGAAGAGGTAAGATGCCAAAAATCTTCTTAGAAAGCAATAACAAACTTATTTCTGAGATGGAAAGACCACAAAAAGATTGAGAACAAAGAGTTGGATACTGAAGAAGGTTTGGATTTTGAGAGAGATGACATTGATTTGATGTTTCAAAAGGTGGACAATAGAATTAAAGATGAGTTTGCTTTCTACTATCAAAAGGAAAAAATGAATTCAGTTTCAGCAGATATATTTCTAACAACTTTAGATAATATTGAAAAGAAAATAGACAGAAATTTCTCAGTATTGTATAAAGAAATAGGAAAGAATGACTTACTGGATGAGGTATGGCCTAAGATTAGGCTTTAAAAACACATGACCAGCATAAGTATAATTTTCTGACCAAAATAGGTAGATGCCTGAATAAGGTTATCAATGCATTGCCAGTTTCCTTCAAGAAAGACATTATTAGTATACAGGAGAAGGTTGAGACATATGCAGTAACCTTAAGACTGGCTGATAACAAGGGCTGGGGCACTGTATTGCAAATTATAGGAAGTAATAATAGAATGATAGAAAAGTACAAGAATTGTATTTCCTTATTTAGTCAGTTCAAAGGAAATTATAGTAGTAAGTTTCATAAGATACAGTATAAAAGAAAAAGATATTTACCTTTGTTATCTAATTCAGAAAGAGTGAACTATGAAAAAAAATCAGAAAAGAAGTAAAAGTTCTTTTTCCTTTTGAGAAAGAAGCACCTATGGAACTACTAATCAGCAAAAAGGTTTTATCTGTTTTAATTGTGAAGGTTTTGGGCACATTGCCTCTAGCTGTTTCTCCTCAAAAGCCTTACTCAAAACAAAAGCCAAGATTGACTACATTTAGGACATTGTTATAAAAAAGGACAGAATAAAGAACCAAGAATCAGTTGTAAGAAGAATGCAATTAGCAAAGACATTGCATTACTAGAGACACAAAATAGGTCCTTTGCCAGTAGTCATGAATTAGTTGGAGAATGGCATTCTATTATACCCAAAAGGGATGTTAGTGCTTGCAGCAAAATCAGTCCTGAAGCAGTACAATTTATTAATAGAACAACAAGAATAGACAAAAGAAAAACTAAATCAGTTATTAGAATCTTTAGCAATAAAATGTCTAAGATGTTTAATAAAGAGGCCCAAGTTTCTCTTAGAAGTTAATTCAGTTTTTTTGGTACCCAAAAAGGGTCCCAAGAAGTAGAGAATACTTATAAACCTAAGATATATAAACTTAATTCTTGTAGAGAAAAAAGTTCATTTAAAAGACTTGAAAAGATTGCTTTATACAATAGGCAAAGGTTGGTTTATAATAATATAGGATCTAAAGGATGAATATCATTATATAATGATGAAGAAGAATGCATATCGGTTTTTTGAATTTCAAGTCTTAAAAAATTGGTATTATTATAGAGTTCTTTCTTTTGGACTATTGCAAGCAGTTTGAATTTTTTCAAAGATCATGAGAACAATCATAGGACATTGAAGGTCACTTGGTCTTTTTAGTATGAATTATTTGAATGATTTTTGACTTGTACATCCTTTATTAGATATCCTAATTATGTTAAGAGATACAATAGTAAAGGAGAACTTGAAGAAGTGTGGATTAATAAGAGAGTTATCAAAGAGGCAATGGGTACCCTCACAGTATATAAAGTTTTTTGGTCTAATAATAAATACAGTAAAGACTCAGGTTATTGTTCCAGAAGAGAAAATTATAGAAATCAAAAGAATAATATTAGTTCTAATTAGAAGGAAAAAATTTCAGCTCAAGAATTAGCAACAGTAACAGAGAAAATTCAATTTTTAAGCAGAGCATTTGCTCATGCAAAAATTCACTGTCTAGAGTTTTACACATTGATAGATATAACAAACAGAAGATCTTGGCAATGGGATGCACCAATAAAACTAACAGTACAAACAAAAGAGGGTGTAAGATGGGTTGCTCTAAATTTGAAGAAAGAAAATAGATGCTGAGCTTGGAAGCCTTCAAAAGTGAATCAGAACTTTGTTGATGTCTCAACAATTGGCTAGTCAGCAGTTTTCAGAATGCATTATGCCTTCAAAAACTGAGACATCAAAAGGTTACACAAAGAGATTACCAAATTAGAAGCAGAAACTGTCATCTTGGGAATAGGGACTTTTGCAAAGCTATTAAAACATTCATCGATAGACCTACATATAGACAATTGGGGTGCAATCAGTATAGTTCTAAAGAGAGGCAGACTATCTTGACAAAAGGAATTGTTAAGAAGGTTGTGGACATTACTAGACAAATGGGACATATGGATAAGCAAAGTCTTTTGGGTTTCTTCAGAATTAAATCTTGCAGACAACCTAACCAGAATGTTGGATACAGATGATTAGTACCTAAGACAGTCAGTTTTCAACCTTTTAGAGGAAAAATAAGGGCCTTACTCAATCGATCATATGGCAGATTACCAAAACACCAAGTTAATTCATTTCAATAACAAATTTTATTGCCCAAATTCCAAAAATATAAACTGTTCACTCAAGATTGGTCAAAAAAAAAACAATTATATATGCTCTCCATTAGCTCTGATTCACTGTGTTATACAACATATTATAAAAGAAGGTGTTGTGACAACTATAATTGTACCAAAGTGGATCTTAGTACAATGAAAGCCAATGTTGATATATCTATAAGTAGACCAAATAGTCTTATCTCTATTCCAAATCACTTTTATAAAAGATTTGTCAGGAGAGATAGAGTCATGAAAAAACCTGAATCAGCAGTTTTTGACAATAAGGATAAGCTGATTTTAGAATTACTTAAAAGAACACAAATCTTAGAAAGAAAAGCTGTTTCAAAAAATTAGAATTATTGTTTGAATAAGGCATGAAATCTTTTTAAAAGTTATTATATTTTTATGAGATTGACAGCTTTATCATCTAGTATTGACACACTTGTCTCATTTGTGGTTTGGCTTGATTTGGTGCATTCTTTTACAAGTTGTGCTAATGTTCTGATAGCAATTTCAAGAGAACATTTGGAACATTAGTTAACAGATTCTACTAAAGAATATAGAGTTAGAAAAGTTTACAGAGCATTACTAAAGAAACATAAAAAGAATAAAGACCCAGACTAGCCATGTAATCCTTTGCCAGTCTCTGCATTAAAGCACTTTGTAGACTCCAAACCACTTCATATAAATAAAAAAATTTTAACCTGTGATGCTGTATTGATAGCTATTAGATTAAGAACTATGCATCACCCAAGCGAACTATGTAAGTTAAAGCTTAAAGACATTAAGTTTGGAAGAAGTTAGTTTGAGTTCGTATAAGTTCTTCTAAAACAGATCAGTTTGCCAATAGAAAGTTCATTTCAATTGAATCCTCTAAGAATCATTACTGCCCAGTCAAGCTTTTAATTGATTATATGTCAATTAGACCAAAAACATCCAATGATAAGTCACTTTTTTTATCACAACAAGGTAAACAAATGACAGTAGGTGCTGTAGGGGCTGTTGTTAAGAAGATGCCTAAGCTGGCAAGCCTTAAGGGCAGATTTACAGCACACAGCATTAGAATAGAAGGTGCTACTGCCACAATGGAGACAGGTCTTTCTTTAACCCAGATCCATACTATAGGAGGATGGGACAGTAAGGCTGTTATGCTTTACTTAAGATCTGTAGGAACAGCTAAAATGCAAATCTCCAGGAAGATGGGGTTTTGCTGAATACGATCCTCTTTTAATTCCCATATGTTTTTCAATAAAATCATTTGATTGAACAATAATAATGAGGAGCCTGTCAATGAAGTGACAGGGCGACCATTATTGTGAGGTCAAATGACCTATGATCTTTACTTATCATATTTTGGTTGGTCGATTGTAGGATCGTAGCTGTTGCCTGATAGTTCTTGTTAGATGCAGGTTTTTTATAATAATTTTATGATCGCATATACTTTTGGTAGGCAGTATTAGTATGATAATTATGGAATGTCAAAAGAATTCAGGAGTAAATCATATGGTTATAGGTGTGAAATCAGAAGGAAGGAAAATTGGTGGCGTCCTGTCAGTGAGGGATATTTAAGGCCATAGTGGTTGTCATAGGAGGTTATCTTTCTCTTCGCTATCACTTGCCTTGTAGAAAGGCTGGCTCTATCGTTTCCCTACAATTTTCCACTCCCTTTTGGAAATGGTGATGTCATAGCATGTTTCTTGTCAACCTACAGGATATAGTAGGTATTTATAGGCTCCGCGTCTGCAATGGCAGTGCAAGGACCACCAAGAATGTATTTGGGCTCCGCGGCTGTAGTAACAGTGCAAGGACCCTGTAAATCATATGAAGGCTCTGAAGCTGCAGTTGCAGTGCAAGGGCCTTTATAGTATAATCTGGCTCCACAGCTGCAGGTGCAGTGCAAGGACCACTAAGAGAAAGTTGAGCTTTAGAAGCAGCAACCCCTTTTCAAGATAAGTATATAACCGATTCTCTTTATAGCTATACTGTCTTATACTAAGCCTTTCTCACACAAGATTTAGTGTTTGTGAGATAGGATTTATGATTTGTTTCTCCGGGCTTGGCCCAGAAGGTA